TGAATTTGGATTGATTTGACATGACTGCTAGCCAGAAAGTCCATACTGAGCATTTTTAATGGGCCTAGCCTAAGGAACTATGTATGTGTGCATATTATAGACTAATAACTTTTTCAAACTTTCAAACACTGGGCAGGAGCTATAATCTTTTTCTTGGTTTGGGGGCAGTGTGGAACTATCAGTAAAAACTTTAACTGTGCCTATTCATTGCACCAGCAATTTTGCAATAAATTGTCTTTCTAATGTACAACATGGTGAATATAGTTAATAATACTGTATGTATACTTGATATTTGCTGAGTAGATTTTAAGTGTGCTCAATACACACACACACACACACACACACACGCACACACACACACACAAATGATAACTATGTTAGGTGATGGATATGTTAACCTGATTGTGGTAATCCCATTTCACCAAGTGTATGTGTGTGTGTGTGTGTGTGTGTGTGTATGTGTGTGTGTATATATATATATATATATATATATATAGTTGTCAAATATACTATAGTAAAGCTAGAAAAAATTAAATTCTTTATCTTATGGATATATTTTTAAATGTAAGCCATTGTAACATTGTTATAGCACAAACAACCCAAAAAACTGGAGATGTAAATGCTTATCAATAAATATGGTTTAGATTACTGTAAGACCTTCAAGTGGAATTTCATACAACGGTTAAGAAAGAGGTCTATCAATATGTGATGTTAACATATCACTAAGATGTATTTTTTTGTCCAGCCAGTGTGGCTCAGTGTTGGGTGTTGACCCATGAACCAGGAAGTCATAGTTGGATTCCTGGTCAGGGCATATGCCCAGGTTGCAGGCTTGATCCCCAGTGTAGGGCATGGAGGAGGCAGCTGATCAATGATTCTGTCATCATTGATGTTTCTATCTCCCCTTACCTTTTCTTTCTGAAATCAATAAAAATATATTTTTTAAGAAGATGTATTTTTAAGTGCAATAAAAATCAAAGTTCAAAAAAGAAGAGTTCACATAGTACTAGAGGCCCAGTGCACGAAAATCATGCACTCAGGGTGGGGAGGTTTTCTCAGCCCGGCCTGTGCCCTCTTGCAGTCTGGGAGCCCTTGGGGGATGTCTACTGACAACTTAGGCCCGCTCCTCCTGGGAGTGGGCCTAAGTCGGCAGTGGGACACCCTGCCATGCAGCTGTGTTCGCCAACCAGCTAGCAGCCGTGGGAGCACACTGACCACCAGGGGAAGCTCCTGCATTGAGCGTCTTCTCCTGGTTGTCAGTGCTCATCATAGCCACCGGTAGTTCCACCATTTAGTCAATTTGCCTATTAGTCTTTTGTTATATAGGATGGTGTCATATTGAAACATTTATGTATGCAGCTATACGCACACATTTCCCCCACACTGGAAGGATATGCTTGCACTGATAATGGGGAGTATGTGTGATGATAGAGGAATGGGGAAGGATAAACTTATTTTTTATTTTGTCCTTTGATTTATTCTTTGACTAACATATTTATATATATATAAATTTAAGCCATTTGCTTAAGATAATACAGCCAGGAGAGGGCACAGCTAGGATTCCCACCCAGACTGTGATCCAGAGCCTTGTGATCCAGAATCCTTCTGGATTCTAGCAGATTGCCTCCTAACAGTGCTCTTAGTATCAGGAAGTATTTTTGTTTCTTGTTTGTAAGCTGCAAAATTTTTCAAAATACCTGGAATCAAAATATCCAAAGGCCATTGGGAGAATGTGCTCATTCTCCAGAAGAAGGTTTTGTGCCCCAACTGCCTGCTATCCTGGCTCCTTTTTTTATAAGATTGTAGCTCGGCCAAGAGAGGTCAGTGACCTGGAGCCAGGAAATACAGACTAAGATTTCTAACAGGACAAATTACCTTAAGGAAAAGGCATTAAGATCATTGGTGAGGTGGGGGTGTGGAGAAGGCATGAAAACAGTATCATTAGCCAACTTGGTTAATGGGCAGATGCAGGAAGTGGCAGATAAACCCAGCCAGAATCTATAAATATACTTCAATATTAGTACTCAAAACCTACAAAATAAATGAGTGAATTAAAAAACTTTGGCATCTAGATATAAACTCTTAGTTCTAAACTTAACTCTGATGGTGTGTGTGTGTGTGTGTGAGTGATTTGGGCATATTATTTAACTGCTCTGGGTTTCAGTTTATCCACTGGTCAAATGAACAGCACTATCTGTCCTAGCTACTTCACAGAGTTATAAGAAATAAATAAGGCAAGGAATGTACCTTGAAGATGCAAGGCATCCTACTGTTAATGCAAGGATGAGAAGTTACTGTTAATGTCTTTGAGACTTACCTCAGAGAAGTAGAGCTATTTTGAGATGGAAAATGGGAGGAAGCATCCAAAAAGCATTGCTGGTAACAAGGTAGCACACCTAACCAAAAAGGAGCCCCATGGGTCATATTTTCTAGTTCCTCCCTTTTATAATCATGGACAAAGACCTATAGAGTCCAAAATCAGCAGAGCAATGATAGTGCCATGTATAGACTATTGTTTAAACCAGTAAGACGAAACAGTAGCCAAAGGGACGGGATATGCTTGCTATAGGTCCCTTGCCCAAGGGGCTTGCTGAACTCTGAATGTTGAACAGGGTCCTGGAAGCAAACTGAGAAGCTTAGTAAGGAATTAGGACAGAGGTGGGGGGATGGACTTCAGTGATTCAACTCCAGGATGGCTGAATGCCTCTGAGGAGCAATTTGAGGGTGGCCAGGGACTTGGATAGGACAAATGACAACTTCCTAGAACGGACTGTTCCAGAACTCAGAGGAAAGGAAATAGCTTGGCCTGGTCCTGGATAGATCACAGGAACCAAGATAGGAAGTATTTGTAGTGGAACTACAACATCAAGTCCCTTTTGAGCGGAAGAAGGAAATGGGTGTGTGTGTGTGGGGGGAGCGCATGCAGTGCAGTACACATGACAAGTCAGTTTTTGTGATGGTGGGAGTGAAGATAGAGAGAATGTATCAACAGGGAGATAGTGCTATGCAGTGACAAGTTACTGGACTAAGACTTGAGTGTGAATGCTTGCTCACCTGCTCCACCATTAACTTGCCCTATGACATTTTCCTCCTCTGAATCTTGGTTTCCTCATCTTGGAAATAAAGACCTTTTCCCCTATCTCATAAGTTGTTAAGAGGATTAAATGTGTTATTGAAAGCAAGTAAAACACAGTTTCTAGAATGTGATGTCCAATATTTTAATATATACCTTCATTTTGGAGAAGGACTTCTAGAAAATCTTTGGTGAAACATGCTAATTTGAAACTTTAAGCACTGGGAAAGCAAGCCAACCTAGCTAACAGGTACAGTGTGGAAAGGCCCTTTTTACAAATGGAGAACCAGCCAAGTAGACAGATAAAAAACTCTTATGTCAGGGTTCACAGGTTAAGGATAAAGTAGGAATGGATATAAATATAAGCATAACACAATCTGTTTACCAGAGACTGTGGAGCCATTAATGCATTAATGTGACGTTCCTCCAGACCCATGACAAAATAGGAAGATAATAAATACTATATAACAACTTGACTCATTTTCTTTCTTTTTAATTTTTAATTTATTAATTTTAGAGATAGAGGAAAGGAGGGAGAGAGAGGGGGAACACTGATTTGTTGTTTCACTTATTGATGCATTCATTGGTTAATTCTTGTATGTACCCTGACCTGGGATTGAACCTACAACCTTGGTGTACTATTACAATGCTCTAACCAACTAAGCTAGCTGGCCAAGGCTTGACTCATTTTCTTGATTGCTTAGAAATACATAATAGGTATTGTGTTCAACTATAGTAGTTTTACTTAGCATCCTTCTCTCTCTCTTTTTTCTTCTTCTTCTTTTTCTGGTAGCCTCACATTCTTTTTGGAAGTATAGATATGAATAAGTTTCTTTAAAAGTAAACTTTAAAAGGTGGAAACCGAATAGAAAATCAGAGTGAAATCTCAGATGGGGGAAGATAAGGAAACTATAGAAAATTGACTTAGTCTTTACCAGGAATAATATTAGAGAAATTCCTACTTTTAGATTTCTTTGGTAGCCAAAAGACCAGAGATATTATAAATCTAGAGGCCCTGTCACAGATTCGTGCATTGGTGGGGTCCCTCAGCCTGGTCTGTGGGAATTGAGTGGAAACCAACTCTCTGACATCCCCTGATGAGTCTGGGGTATGGGTGAAGCAGATTCAGGGCCAACAGTGTCCCAGCAGTAACCTACCCTTTCCCCGAAAATAAGACAGTGTCTTATATTAATTTTTTCTCCCAAAGTTGCGCTAGGTCTTATTTTCAGGGGATGTCTTATCTTTCCATGCACTAGGTCTTATTTTCGGAGGATGTCTTATTTTTGGGGAAACACGGTAACTCATGAGGAATCAGGCTCCCTCCTCTACTGGTTAGGGTATTAGCTCCCTGGTGGTCATTGGGCATCATAACTACTGGGTGAATGGTTGAATGGTCGGATGGTCGCTTAGGCACTTATATATAATATATAGACTAGAGGCCAAGTGCAGAAAATTTGTGCACGGGTAGGGTCCCTAGCAACTGCCGCAGGAGCCTCACTTCACACCCACCTTGGCCTGGTGCCATCTGCTTACCTTCTCCACCATCTCATCGGGGCCCATCCGGGGCCAGCAGCGCCTCCACTGCCACCCTCTGCCAGCACTGCCAGGTTCTGCGCTGCCCCCTAGTGATCAGTGCACGTCTAACTCCCAGTTGGTTGAATTAGCATATTAGCTAATTGATATATAGAATTATAAAACCTGAGAGTGAAAAGTGCTTTGATTTATTTTATAGGTGGGGAAGTGGTTTGCTTGAGGCTCTCAATCATGGTGATCCAGTTGCAAAGTTAGGCTTTAACCCTAACTCATGTCTCTTGATTGTCATTCTGAGGTTCTGTCTGCTGTAGGCTCATCTTTGTGATAATGAATTTCTGACCTCAACTTGTACAAAACTAATTTGTGGTTTTTATTTTTATTTTTATTTTTCCAGGGCCAAGTGCTTTCGGGGCAAAAAAGTCCTTGGAGATTATGATATCAAAGTGGAACAGGTAATCAGCCTGAAGCCCAGAGCTGCATCTGCATCATCATCAATCCCTGTTGGCATTCCAGAGTGAACCATCTAGTCCTGCTGAATGGAAGACAGCATCCTTCGCTGGGTTACAGACTATCTCTTGAATCCCACCCTTTCCCCAGGGCTTTTCTTTTTATGAGACATAGTCCTGAAGGCTGTATCTTTGAATTTCTCTGACTTTTTATCATGGTTCTGGTGTCCAAAGAGAGGCAAATAGTGTAGCTCTTAGGTCCTTCATGTAGTGCAGGGTTCTCAGGCTGAGGAAAGCCTTAGAGGAATGTCTTTCCAAAACACTGGCCACAGCTTCATGTTATTGGTGGCATGGTATTCCTCGGTAGGCACATGTTTGGCATTCAGGTGTGTGGCCTCCAGTGGTGACTACTCTGGGCTTAAGGTTATACTTCAGAGAGAACTTAGAAAAGAACACCTGTTTTAATGCAGTAAAGTCCTGAAAGTTTCATTTTTTATCTTCCTCTATTCTATGCTTTATGATAAATAGAAATTAGATCCATTGGGTAGAGAGGTGGGGGATATGCAATTTCAGTGATGCATGTATTTTCAATCTAATAATAGAACTTACTCATTATTCCTTACACAGTGTGCTGTGGTTTACAGAGTACTTCCTTATCCATTATTGCATTGCATTCAGTTCTTAAAATAAGTTGTTATATAGACAGGGTTGATAAAAACTTTTCCTTTTTTAAAATCCTCACCCAAGGATATGTTTTCATTGATTTTTAGAGAGAGGGGAAGAAAGAGAGTGAGAAGAGAAGTTGCCTCCCATACATTGCACAAATGGGGATTGAACCCACATCCTAGGTATGTGCCCTGACCAGGAATTGAACGTGCAACCCTTCAGGTTACCTAGCTAGGACAATTTTCTCCCCCCATTTTACACATGGGAGAAACTTTTCCTCCAGAGAGTATAAGTAATTTGCCTAATGTTGTACACAGCTAGTTGGGAGTAAAAGAGAACTAAAACCCAGTTGCCTAATCTAAAACCTAGTGCTTTTATGCTGAACCTGATAAAGGGCATGTTTGCCCTGGTTCATAGTCCTGCTCTCAGAGAGGCAGCACAAAGGATGTTGGGCTGGGAGTTTGAAGACCTGAGTTTTGCTTCTTTACTGTCAAAAATAAGTTTTTTTGTTTTGTTTTTGTCTAGCAAAGTTACTTAACTGCTTTTTATCTCTTCCTCCGGCCTCAAAGAGATGCTATGAGTTAAATGAGATCAGTTTGTGAAAGTGCTTTGAAAATTGTAAATAAAATGTTTAATGGTTAGGATGTTATTGCTGCTGCTTTGTGGAGGATTTGGCAAAGTTAGGACTGTGGACTTATTCCTCTACTGTTATTTTTATTTACTTTTCACCATAGTAAAAAACACATAATCTGAAATTACCTTCCTAATCCCTATTGTTATTTTCCAGGCAGAATTTTCAGATCTCAACCTGGTGGCCCATGCAGATGGGACCTGTGCTGTGGATATGCAGGTACTCCGGAATGGCACAAAGGTTGTCCGGTAAGGTCCTTTCTCTCCTCGGGGTTACTGTCACTGTCTCTAGAATTACCATCTCTGGCTTGCAGAGGCAGTTTCAAAATCAAGTGTTGGAGTGGGATTATATTACTATGTATAATGTGTAGAACTTAATGATGTGTGCTGTGCAGAGGTGGTACAGGAAGACAGAGGAAAGACAGAGCTCTTAGTCCAATGGTAGAGAAAGCTTCGTGGACTAAGAGCTTTCTTAAAGGTTACTGGATTCCTGTTAGAGGGGTTCCAGGACTCCAGCCCCACTTCAACCAGGACAGCCATGTGCTTTTATCTCTGCATATATTTTCCCTGGAAATCAATATTCTATTGCTTAAAAATAAAGTCTGAAAACCTCCAATCTAGTTCAGCCTGTTATTATACATTGATTTGCCATTGACTCAGTGAGTTGTTAGCAGAGCCCTGTGTTCTATGTGCATTTTCTTAACTCCCAGTCCTGTGATATTTCTATATTCATCATCCCTGGGAACTCACAAGTCTAATAGGAGAACCTAAGTCAGAAGGGACATTATGAATGGAAGAAAAATTTCAGTTACAGAGCACTTACATGCCAGGTAGTGCAATGGGCACATAATACACCATTTCTGTGAGGGAGGTGGTGAGAATGCCAGATTGGGAAAATGATTTCCACAGTATTATTCTTACCAAGGGCTCAGTGTGGCTTCAGGTTTTCAGGTGTGTGAGTCTTGCTCCGGGAAGACTCTTTACTATTATTTATTCTTCCCTATACCAGTCTGCAATACCCTGATACTGAGGCCTCCAGTGTCCATTAGGAACTGGGTCAGTGACAGGACAGGCAAAACTCAGGTGTCTGGAACCTAACAACAGGAAATATGAGTTTGTCCATCTTCAGTTCATTCATCCTGGAGACTAAGGAGGAGGACAGAAAAAGAGATGTCTGTCCATATGGGAGTGAGATTGGGGAGAGATAATGGGTTTCTCAAGCTGCAGGTAGAGTGAGTCATAGGGACATATGCACACAAGCAGGTAGTTACAGGTGTCATGGGATCTGGCAAGATTAAGGCAGGTCTTTCCAGGTACCAGTATAAGAAATCAAGAGCTGGCCACAAATCTAGAGCTCAATTCCTATAACTGGGTTATAAGATTTGATCTTAGGTATTATATACAGCTGAAGCCAGTTTCCCAGAATTGGGGCACGAGGAGGTCAGAGCAGCTCCAGCACTTGATGCTAAGTTTCCTGAGTACAGAGGAGGGCTCCTTTCACCCCCACTTTAAAAGATTGATTTTTGCACCAGGGTGGGACTGTAGTTGTAGTGGGAGGTTGGATAGGTGCCTGGGCAGAGAACCAGGTAGATCATTGCATATGTTGTGAAATTGCTGAGTCCTAGAGCCTTGAGGGTGGATGCTGCCACAGAATTGGATTTCTGAGAAGATGAGGTTCCTCAGGAGTAAGGGCATAAACATAGGGGCCCTGGTCCTATAGGGCAGCTATGGTTAAGAGCTTTGCTGGCTAGAGGTGAAATGCAGGGAGCCTTCCCATGCATGAGAACATTCTGTACTCTCAGTGTTTCCTGTAGCTGTTGCTCAACCTCAGTTCTGCAAAAAATATTTATACCTCTCCCTAGTGTCCGCTTTGGAAGAATAACATTGGGAAGTCTGGCATCTTGTCTCAGCTAGCCTGGACCCTTGCTCTCCTGGGGGCTGATGAGGACATAGCCTATTTTAAGGAGTAGCTTTATGGACTCAAAGCAGGACAGTATCTGCTGGGACCCCTTGGAATACCAATTCTGGAGCCACAAGGAGCTTCAACTTTTATACTGCCCCATAGTGATAGGAAAAATTCTTTTCACTTAAGGTGTGAGGATCTAAAAGTGTTTCTTCCCTCCTGAGGGCATTTGTACCTTATAAAAAAGCAATGCTTAACCAGAGGAATAAGGGAATTTTAGAAATATGTTTCTCAGCCCTAACCAGTTTGGCTCAGTATTTGAAGGGTTGGCCTGTGGACTGAAGGGTCATGGGTTTGATTCCAGTCAAGGACACGTATGTTGGTTGCAGGTGTGGTCGCTGGTCCCAGTTGGGGTTATGCAGGAGGCAACCATTTGATGTGTATCTATCACATCAATGTTTCTCTCTCTCTCTTTGTCTCTCCCCCTCCTTTTCACTCTTTAAAAATCAATGGGAAAAATATCCTTGGGTGAAGATTAATAACAACAAAAAGAATGTGTTTCTCGTTGAGATGTGCCATGATACCTCATTTTTAGTTCATAAAGAATAATAATAATAAAATAAGGGACTTGGACCAGGTGGCCCCTAAAACTCCTTCTTGTTTTGGGCTTTGGAAATGGGAGACAAGGTGATGTACCACCTGAGGTGCTGGTTAATGGCAAACTTGCCTCTACATTTTTTTTTTTACCAGATCCTTCCGGCCAGATTTTGTGCTCATCCGGCAGCATGCATTTGGCATGGCGGAAAATGAGGACTTCCGACACTTGATCATTGGCATGCAGTATGCAGGCCTCCCCAGCATCAACTCACTCGAATCCATTTACAACTTCTGTGACAAGCCATGGGTGGTAAGTGAGGTTCCCTTCCCTCAAGGTAAAAAGGTAGCACCCAGGTCCTATATCTCCCAGTCCCCCAGGAGGGACCACTGGTAAAGAAGATGCAGTAGGTGCCAGTTGAAAGGATGTGGGAGGAGCTTCAGCTGGAACATGGGAAAGATAGACTCTCATAAGAAAACATAATCATCATGGGCTGGGCACCTTAGCTGCATAGTGGACCTTTGGCCTTACAACAAAGTCACATCAAGATTCTGTGCAGAAGCCCCTACAAACTCTGCCCTCAGCTATAGAATACAACGATAAAAATAACTATTTCTTGCCTTTGAATGGTCTAACCACTGGAAAGGTCTGAGGCCAGTGGGGATCAAGGGGATGGTCCATCTCAGAGGGGTGTTAGTGACAGTCTTACCAAGTGTTTTAACAACCTCAAAGTCAGATTTATCTATAAACATATGAATCAGACACTTATATGAGATGTAAGTGCCCTTAGGGATAATCAAATCTCCGCCCTTCATGGTAGATATATGAAAATTTAAAAAGGAAAGCAAGGAGTGTAAAACCACTTACTATATGGTGCTAACTTCTGAGATTTTCCTATTTTAATTTTATTTAATCCTCACAATAACCTTCAAAGGAAGATATTATTATCATTATTATCACTTTTTATAAAGAAATGAGACCCAGAAAAGATTAATCTATAACCAAAGTTATAGAACCAGGATTTCTCTGGATTGTACTGCCACTCACATAAATTAAGTTAGCATGTGAGGAAGAAGCTGGTGTTTTCTTCCTTGGCCAGTCTGGAAATCTAGGAGGCAGAGGAATCTTCTGAGCAGAGAGAAAGTGAGGCTAAGAGGGAAAGTGACCTGTGATGGCTACGGGGACGCTCTGGCCTCCCCTCTGATAGCTGGGGCAACCCAGCTCCTGTAACTCTGCTACTCCATCCTGGTCCTGTCAGAAGGCCCCTAATCACATCCTTTTCTTATTGTTTTTTTAGAAATCAAATTTAAGTTTTCACACACTAGCTTGCAAGGCACTGGTAGCTGATTTTGAAGTTCCTGGACCCCAAGCATCTCCACCACTCAGGGAACTGGAGGGAATGTTTTAACCAACTAGATTCATTGCCTCTGCTCTTGATTTTTTTTTCACACCTGAACTTAGTTTTCTTGTTCCCTTGGAAGCCAGCAAGATCTGACAGTATAAGAGAAAGAACAATGAATGAGAAGTTAGATCTGGGAGCTGTTGTTGAGGAGGGAGGTTGGATCAGCCTTTCCCTCTGTGTGGCCTGTGGCATCTGGAATCCTAGTGTTATAGGAACAGGCTAAAAGAGTTGTGTGATTTGATTGGCTTACTATTTGCAGAAGAGCACATATGAGGCCTTCACCAAACTTCTTTTCTGGGGTCCTACCCTTTCTCCTTAGTCATGTGCCCTTCCTTGCTGCACATATGCCCTAGTACTTCCCCCATCCTTTCAATATCTATTAGAATTTGGCTCCCTCATAGTCACATAGGGTGAGTCTGCTATTACCAGCTTTTTTCTGAGTGATTTCACTATTCAGCCTACTGACTAAACATCTCTCTATGCTATGGGGTTTTTTTTTGTTTTGTTTTTGTCAACTAGCAATAATAGTAGTACCTGTCACCAGTTTGCTAACTTGGGTTGTTACAATCTCCTACTATTTGGGGTATTTTATAAAAGCTGGTTCCCTGCTTTTTGTTTCAAAACTGTGTCGGAGGCCAGGGAGGGCAGAATCAGAGAGCCTGTGCCTAAGGTTTTGCCCCTCCAGAGATCTGGTATCTGGTGAGGGTTCACATTCTCACCATTCACAATCCCAGCACATTGCTTTTGGCATTGCATGAGAACAGAAGGGCTTCTTGGCTAGCGACCAAGTTCTTCTTTCATTTTTACTAAGCAGCTGCCACAACAATGGCATTTTATATATTGTCCTCTGCCTGTTAATGGGAGTGGACAACTTTGTTGACTGTGAGAGGAGGGTCCCTCTGAGATATTTTCTTAAATTTCTTTATTGCGGGTACCCTTGATGTGAGGCCTCATTTGGTTGGCAAAAGCCCTACCTTACATCAATCACTGTGTTTCTGAGCACATCTGCTATCTCACAAATTGATCAGGGCAGGCACAGTTGGATTTTGGAAATAGAAGTGGATTTACCAATGACAATAACATTCCAGAGAAAGCAGGAACATCTTCATACCATATTGCTACAGATTTATCTGAAATTCCTGTCACGTTTTTAAGTTTTTTTAGAGACAGATGCACTAGGATTGAATTAAGTGTTTTATTTCCAGGAGGGATGATCTTGAAGTCCCATTTCTTCTAGGAAGTCTTTCCTGATTCATTGGATACGTAGTTACAAAGAACATTATATTCCTATTTGTTGCCAATATCACCCCCAGGTCCCAAATCCATTCTTTTGTCTTTAGATAGAGGAAATAACCCTTATCAAATATTACATTTGCTTAATTGGTGACTGCATGTTTGTGACTTAATCTAAGGTTCCAGGAAGGCAGGGGTTAAATGCCAAGCCCAGTACCTTGAGCAGACAGGGGCTACTGGAAATAAGATTGAGAAGGGTAGGGTGAGCTACCAGGGACCCAACTAGTGCCTGGGAACTGGCTACCTTTTTAATCTTGGCTGTCCCAGGACTCTGAGAGTGTGCCGTGGGCCTTTCTGGCATTGGTGTGGTGTCTGTGTAACTCTCCCACATGTTGGGAAGATAGGGACCCACATGTCTTTGTGCTTTGCCAGGGCGTGGGCTGCAGCAGGACAGAGGTGGTTAAGCAGAGCTGGCTGGGGATGCTGAAGAGCCTTGGGAGCTCAGGCAGAGCAGGAGTCTAGCCAGATTGAGGCTGAAAGATCAGATGAGGTGGTGGAGAGAATCAGAGAGGGCAGGAAAGGTATGAAGTGTTGGTCTTGATAGTCAAAGCAATTTGAAGAATGATAGAATGGTGAGAACAGCAGGGTGCAATGAAGAATGCACCTTTTTACATGGCAGCCTCAATTCCAGGCATGATCTGGGAGCTGAGGCTTTCCTTCACTTCTCTAGGATCAGTCTCCTCACTTGTAAAACGAGATGTTTGGTGCAGAGCTCTCTAAATTCTCTCTCAGTAATAACATCTTAGGGGCTTGTGCGTCTATGACTCATGCTTTTAGTCCTGGTGGATGTTTAGAGATCTGGAGTCACCAACCAATCACTAGGGAAGTGATTTAGAAATTTCAACATTTTCCAGCATTTCAAAAACAATAACAAAATTCTCTTTTCCTTCAAAAGGACCACAAGGAGATTCAAACTGTAGTTTGATGATGCAGTTTAGGAGGAAATAAAATAAAAGATGTTATTTGTGGTAAAAAGTTTGAGGAACTGTTCATTTCTCTCATTTTGTATATCAAGAAAATGAGGCCAGGAAAGGAGATATCATTTGCCAAAGGACACCTAGCAAGTTAGAGGCAGAACAAGAATCAGAAGACTCCAGTTTTCTAATAACCCAGTTCTGAGCTTTTATTACTCCAGCCCCTTTACCCCAGGCTCATGTGCCAACATCCCTTATAAAGAACAGGATCTAAGCTTTGGGAAAATGTTCTAGCTTTCCTTTCTCTGATAAATAGAAGGCAGGTTTGATCTAGCAACTTTTCCTTCTAGCAGTTCCAGAAATTGGGGCTTAGACTGTGATGTAACCCAGTAGCACTAGAGGAAGGATGCTGAATTATCCTTACTGCTAGTGTACTGGACATAGGTGTGTGGGGTGTGTGTGAAAGGATTGAGTAGGGAAGAAACCTGTGTTTCCTGTAGGAAGAGCATGGTTTCTGCAGAGCCTGAAAGGCAGCTACTTGGAGGAATAGAAAGAGTTATGAATTGGTAATAAAGGGACCTGACTATGAATCTGGCTCAACCCTGTGACCTTGGAGAAGTGATTTGACTGGGCCTCAGTTTCTTCTTCACTTTTTTATAAAATTGTTGGGGAGGGGAGTAGAGTGCTAGATATTTGCTAAAGGCCTTTCAACCCTGACACTGTAAGTATGCATACTTCACGGAGCTGTTCTGGTTTCTCATAGGTGAAGGGGCTAGCTGAGTTCAGTTCTTAGATGAGTAGTAAGTCCCACAAAGACTGAGTCTGTTTATTTTATATATCAGGACCATCAAAATCTTCCTGAAGAACAGTTTCATTCATTACTCCCCTGCTCAAACTCTTATTACTTCATACTGCCTATAGGGAAAAGATACTGTTTCTTTGCCTGACATTTAAACTTCCAAGACTTGGTCCACGTTACCTATCCAGCTCATCAATTGCCATTTCTAGAGATGCAGGTGTTTAGAATTAGAGAACCAAATTTCAATGTCAGCTTCACCTCTTGCAGCTCTGTGACTGTAGGCAACTTTCATACCCTCTCTGAGTGTTATATGTAAAATGAAGATGATAAAGTACCCAGTTCCTCACTTTAATATGAGGGTTCAATGAAATATCATTAAAATTGAGTCAGTACTGAATGAATATTAACTCACATTTACACAGTTAAAGAATATGTTTCTTGAGAATAGGAATTGTTCACCTCTTTTATATCCTCAGAGCACAAATTCCTCAACAGAGCAAATGCTCAATAAACATTTTTTTGATAGATTGCTGTTTTGTCTGTTCTATAAATTGTCTAGATTAGCTGAAACATTTGTTTCTCTTTTATAGTTTGCCCAGCTCGTGGCCATCTACAAGACATTGGGAGGAGAAAAGTTCCCACTAATTGAGCAGACATACTACCCCAACCACAAAGAGATGGTAAGTGATCAGGTGGGGATTTTGGTCTCTATTTCCACTCTGAACTTATTCATATTATAACTGTGGGGCTCTGAAGAGGGTTTTAGTATCTTAACTCCAGTTGTGGCTGAGCTACAGACCTGCTTTGTGAGGTCAGAGTGGCTGTATTTTAGTTTCTAGCCCCTTGTCTCCAAAATCTGGAGACAGAATAGGGAAGTGCAGAAATAAGGAATTTTATCAAACTGAGAAAATAACAAACCTATGGATCAGTAATCAAAAGATCCTGCTCTTTGGATTCTAGCCATGGCCCTGCCACATGCCATTGGACCAGTTAAATTTCTTTTCCAACTTTAAAGTCAAATGGACATAATTATTCCTAACCAGGATCTTGAATTTGGTACAAAATATAAGTAAGAGCCTTCTGGGAAAGTGTGAAGCATCCTTCAGATGTTATTCCTGCTATTATTACCAAAGTCTTTCTTTCCCTTGGCTTTGTCAAGATTGTGAGAAGACTAGGTTAACATAATGCCTTCTCTGAGGCCATTCTAGTATATCAGAAGGGGCAGAGAGATGGCATGGTTGGTTGGTTTTTCCTCCATGGAGACCTAGAGCTCAGTCCCTTTTCTTCCTCTCTGTCTCCACACCCTCTGCTGCAGGCCTGCATGGTCAGTTGGTGATAATGCTTAACTCTGGGACAGAGATTATGTTTGTTACCCTCTCACTCCCTTCTCAAAAAGGAACTACATTGATCTGTGAATCAAGAGCCTTCTTCTGGCATATTGTGCATGGCCTTGCTTCTCATCAAACAACTTAATAGAAAACAAATAACAACATCCTTAGGCCTTGAATAGAACTACCTCCTTCATCTTTTTCAGAGCTTCCCAGGGAGAAGCTCTGGGACTTTAAGTTCTTGTCCTTAATAAATCCTTGAGACCAACATCAGGGCTTAAGGGATCTATCTATGCTTGGAGTTCTCAGGGAGTTCAAGACACAGTGGTAAGGGGACTGAGTTGAAGGAAGGATTGGGACCAAAGCTGGATTTTTCTTGCTGTAATATTTAGCAGGGCCAATCACAAAAACTATTTTGAAAAAATTGCAAAGTATATTGTCTATTTACCATCCTTTTTCCCACAAGGGAACTTGAGTTATTTCTCTCTTGTTCTCTAGCCTGAAATTTGCCCTCCAAAGAAGACCTCCTAAGATCTCTCTGAGGTGTCAAAATCTAAAGGAGAATTTCAACCTGAGGCTTTTTTGGCTTAAAAAAAAGTTTTGAAGTAGGAATTAAGATATTAGTAATCTAGAAGAGAAGGTTTTTTTTGTTTTGTTTTGTTTTGTTTTTAAAGAAACATAAAAGAAGACTTACGGACATCAGGTGAAGGTATTAATGATAATTAACCTGCAGAGATAATACCCAAGTCTATTCTTATCCAAAGAGGTGTGCTAGGGGGCCAGACCCTCTACCAGGAATTGGATAGAGATTACAGCATGTAGTGGATGGTTAGGCCATTGTAGGTCTAATATTGAGTGATTCTGTACCCCAGCAAGTCATTTCCCTAAACAAATGAAAGTGTAAGAGAGGATCTGGATGAGCTGAAATCGGAGTAGAGAATACACAGCTATACTTTGTTGCTCTTTTTATTCTTCCAAATCAGCCTGTTTATGATACTGTCAACCTGTCTTCTGGTATTGTACATCAGATAGGTACACTATCTCATATGTATAGCATTCACCATTTCTTCACTATTGGATCAATTAAGGTAAGAGAAAACACATTTTCTTAGAGAGAAAAGGGAATAGTTCTGATCAGAACTATTTTGATTCTAAGCCAGAGTCAAAATTTTCAGTAACAGGTATTGGCTAGAACAGTGATCGGCAAACTCATTAGTCAACAGAGCCAAATATCAACAGTACAATGATTGAAATGTCTTTTGAGAGCCAAATTTTTTAAACTTAAACTTATTCTAATACCACTTCTTCAAAATAGACTCACCCAGGCTGTGGTATTTTGTGGAAGAGCCACACTCAAGGAGCCAAAGAGCCGCATGTGACCCGTGAGCCACAGTTTGCCAACCACAGGGCTAGAATAAAAGGGTTTGGGAGGCTGGAGAGAAGGGTTGAGGGCAGGATACTTTCCCTAGCTTTTGACATGTTCTGGGCTGGGGTTTCAGACACAAGCTGTAACATACCCTAGCCCTGCTCTAACACTAGCCAGACTGTCCACTTGATACTTCTCATTTGCTGACAGCAATGAGGCAAGTGGTGATAGCCAGAACTCTAGTGAGGGAGAACTGGCTTGGTCTTCAGAACTCTTGAAGGAATGTGGTGGTCATTGTTCCCTACTAGGGCTGGATGATGTCAACAAACTCCTTCCTGAGGGGCAGGCGTCCCTGATACCAGCTGCAGGTGCCATCAACACGCTTCATGCAGACATAATGCTGGGCCTGGTACCCATAGAGTTTTCTTTCCAACAGCCAATCTGTCCAGAGGCACTCATTGGGGGCTGAGATGGTACAGGGCACTGTATAGCAGGTGGTGATCTAGAATCATAACAACACAACATCAAAGTGAATAGGGTGTCATTTTTCTACAATTTTTTTTTCAGACTCATCTACAACCTTATAGCCTAGCTCAATGCTCGGCAAACCGCGGTTCGCGAGGCACATATGGCTCTTTGGCCCCTTGAGTGTTCTAATGCCACTTCTTCAAAATAGACTCGCCCAGGCCAAAAACCGACTTCTGTGCATGGGCCACGAAGTTTCAATTGCATTGTACGTGTGCGCCCGCATGTGGTATTTTGTGGAAGAGCCACACTCAAGGGGCCAAAGAGCCGCATGTGGATCGTGAGCCACAGTTTGCTGACCACTGGCCTAACTCAAATGCCTTTGCCTTATGAAGTCCTTTCTAGTCTCCAAAATTTCCCAAGATTTCCTTCCCCTGTGTTTCCTACATACAGTTTTGCCTCTCCAATGGCATTTCTGGAGTCAGACAAACCTGAGGGTCATTACTCTACCACTGGTCTTGAGCAAATTACTTTCTAGATCATTAATTTCTTTACTTTAAAATGGAAATCTTAATTATTTATACATTTGTTATAAAGGCTACATTAAAATATTTAAAATAAATTGACCATTAGGGCCTGGCAAAGGGTAGTTTCTGTTAAAATGGTAGCTATACTATTTCAGTTTGCCTTATGTGACCCACCTTCCTTGCCAAAATGTTAGGTACATTGAGATCAGAGACTATGGGTCATCTTGCTTTCCCATCTCCAACTTTATACAGTACCTGATCCATGGCAGATCTCAAGTATACTATATAATAGTAAGTGAATAAACACATGCATGAAGGAAGAAGTACCATTAGTAGGTGCCATTAAAAGTGGGGCTGAAAGGCTCAAGCCCCTCCCCCACTCCACCCCCCCAAAAAAAAGACCTTGGAAATGGACATTCTCTTACTTGGCAGCCACAGTTCATATGGTAGTGGTGGTTCAGACTTTCTCTTTGCAAAAAGGATAGGTTTTCCCAGGGCTCAATGTAGTTGCACAGATGGATGAAGACCTTTCCATCATTGAGGACCTGACCTACAAAGGAAGATAGAGGAGAACCTATGTTTGTGAAACTCCAGAAACCTGGGTCCTTGAAGAGCCCAGAATTGCAGCCTCTTTAGTGTGTGTGTGTGTGTGTGTGTGTGTGTGTGTGTGTTTTGTTTTGTTTTGTTTGGTGGCAGTGGTGACATAAGGCTCAATTAAGGGACCAGAAAAACTCTACAATCTTTATATCAGAGATTATGTTTGTATATAGGAGAGTTGTGGTATACAGGCCTTTTCCTTTAATGTGATGCAGAGAAAACATGGGCTATAAAGTGAGATTCTTGGTGAAACCTCTTTCTTTTCTGTCATTTACTAGATGTGTGACCTTAAAAAAGTCATGTAACTTCTCAACTGGAAGATAAGAATAATAAGGTTATTGTCAGGATTAAATGAGAGAATATTTGTTAAAGCTTCCAGCACAGTAGGAGGCCCATAGAAGATGCTCAATAAATAACAGGCCCTTCTTCTTTCCAACCCTTCCCAATATCTACATAGGCCAGTCCTCTGCTCCATTGATACCTAAATTGGTAAGACTTTCTCATTCTCCATGGGAAAGTGCCCCCTCTTTACTTATCAAACTGTTTCTTATCTTCCAAAGACCCTTTTCAATACCACCTCAAAGCCATCCCTGACCATGCTAGCTTACATCTCTTAGAACTTTAGTCACTCATTTACTTACTGAGCAACTACTAGATTGGTATCATGGTTGCAGAAATAAATATAGTAGGATCTTTGATCTCAAGGAGCTTAAAAACAAGTAGGTCAGAGAGATAAGTAGGCAAAAATTATACTGTTATGTTTATATAAAAGATGCAGTATAAGAACAAAGGAAATAACAATTATCTCTGTCTGTGGAAGGGGCAGGGGGCAAGGAAGCTGTCTAAGAGGAGATGATGCTCCTGATGGGCTTTGAAGGGATGGTTAGGAGTTCACATGCCAGTCAGGTTGGGGAAAAGACTTCTGGACATTGGGACTTCCAGTACAAAGGTGGAGGGGCACAGCCCAACCGAATACTTTCTATAACTGCAAGTAGTTTAGTTCAGCTCTGGGGAAAATGAGGGGCTAGAAACTGTGAGTGATAAGTGGCAGGAGACAAAACTGGAGAGGTCAGCAGTGTTATGGTCACAAAAGACTTTCATCATTAGGCAAAAGAGTTTGTGACTTCTCTTGAAGAGCATGGGCATCACTGATGACTTTTCACTAGACCTGTGTTTTGTCACTTATTTTCATTCTTGGTTAGACTTGACCTCCTTGAGGGCAGAGAGCACGCCTCGCCTCCTGCTTTGACTGATGCACAACAGTGCCTAGCAGTGAGCTAAGCACACAGAAGATAGGTGCTTAGGAAGGAAGGAAGTGGCTTTATCTGCTTGTCCTGGGATGTGGAGGGCTCAGTGGCATGCTCTGCCTCTGCCTCTCCCATCCAGAGTCTCTCAGA